ATGTCTGAGATGGATTGTTTGCGTTGTGCGACTTGCCATTCAGTTCCAAGGTGTCCGTGGAAAGCTTTGAGATTTCTTTAGATTACTGGCTCCCGGTTACTAATTGATCTGCAAAAAAAAGATAAAATCCAGTGGCTGGAGTTTTTTAGTCGCTTCATAAAAGCAGCGGAGCATTACACCGAATTGAGGATGACCATAATCGCATCACGTTTTTATAGTAACGAAGACCATGTATGGCAGATAAAGATCCAGTACATTGTTTATGTAGCTCAGAGTTTGATGATGTAACGAACCGCGCGACCGAATTCAAAGAGCCAACCGTTCACTATTAGCTAGAGTCATTGGCAAGAGTCAGCTGTGTCCCGTGTAAAGTGAACCGATCTAAAAACAGCTGTTTCCTACTGTGCGAGGGTGGACATTTTCTACGGAGTTCAGATACTCCAGCATTTGCAGTATGTCACCTATGAGAGAGCTGATAAGGATTACCGTAGAGCAATGATTCCGTCGATCACAAATTCTTGGTCAGTGGTACCCACGAACAACTCAGCCTAAATCCCAATCGGTTCCGTTGTGATAGACAGGACTGTGCGCTGTAACCAAATAGCTTTCGAATTTATTTCCGGCTCCGTCTCTTTGTCACTTATGGACAATATTCACCGTTCGGTGTTCAGCAAAGACACATACATTTTGGTCCAAATCATTTGATATTGTGTACTTTTTACCATGCTCTCACACTCAAAAGCGCTCTTGTCAATGCAAAAATCAGATGGTGATTTTCATGAACCTCCGTCTCCTAGATTTGTGTTATTAGCTATTCAAACCACGAAATATGCTCATTAATGAAAATTTACGCACGTAGTCTCAATTACTGATAAACCAGCTTTAGTAGTTAGATACGTCTATCGATGATGTGCCAGCAAAGCTAGTAACACACAATTAAGGCGAACATATGTTTTCGGTATATGAAGCAATTTTAATAGGTTCTCATCATGATTATGTGGGCAAATGATTTTCTCTTTCCTTAGAGAACTTGAGAGCTCTCGACCTCAATCATGACATAACACAGCGAATTTTGGATACATAATCCAAACAGTGCATACATCTCGAGTTCTCTCGGGCTCATTAGCAAATACATAACTCATCAACCTTTCTATTTGACCATATTGAAATTGTTTTATATACATGTTAATATAAAGGCTTGAAAATGAATTCACCACAAACATATGTTTGCCTAAACCGTTACTAACTTTTCTGGCTCATCACACGGTAAACGTATCTAACTACTAAAATTGATTAATCAGTAATCAAGACGACGTGCGTAAATTTTTATTCTGCATTGATGAGCACCTTTCAGTTTCCAGAAAATTCTGGTCTCGGTTCACTTCCAAATAATCTGTCTTCTCGTTTGAATCCCTTCTCTCCTGGAGACCGCCTTTGCTTGCAGGTGATTTGCATATGAGTGACTCAGACGATATCCATGAACGACAGCAATGTCGGTGAACAAGTTTGAATGAGGAAACAAGACCATTTTCAGATGATAAAATATTCTCATCAATGCACAAGAGCAATGTGGAAACGAGAAGCAATTTCTTCTGATATGTCACTTCAGATTCTCAAATAAATAGTGCGATTATTTGATAGTACATGGCGTAACAAGGTGTTGATTGAATTGGTGTGAGAGCCGAATTTTTGGCTGATAACAAACTAGGGGATTGAAACAAATGGATAGGGAAAGCAGGGTGAAATGTGTGTGAATTGGATACGATATGAAATGTTTTAGTCAAGAATGAATAAAACAGGTCTGTAAGTGTGTGACTGAGGAAGAGGACATTGGAAAGAATGTTGTGTGGGCACATGAGACAACTGCTTTCATGGCCGTGGTCACAGTGTTGCTTAAATCAGATTACGTTGCTTGTATAACTCTGGCGTAATGATCCTGGAAACTATGTAGTCCACAGATGTCAAGACCTTATGACAATGCCTTGGCATGGTTCATAAGTATTATCAATTCCATTTATATATATACATAATACGCATAAAATATATATACATATATAAAAACAATCAACACCGTTGTTTACAAAAGTGTCATATATATATTTAACACCGGCTTGAGAACAAGAATGGTGCTCAAGTTTTTTTCCTGTTCCCTGTCAAAGAGTGAAGGGAAAGTGTTCGGGTATTCTTTTGATCTAACGCCTCGTTTTGCCCCGTATACCGAGCACTACAAGTGCACATAACCCAATATCTAACAAAGGATTGGAGCTGATTAGCTGATTCATTCGTAAGTTGTTGAATAAAAAATGGCTTAGCCTTCGAGGAGAGTCCTAAATGAGTTACGGGAAAACCGTTTGCAGCGGATTTTGATAACCGATGTACCAGGANCCTTCTGCCTAGCCTGTTTTGCTTTTATATCGTTTGGTTCTGAATCCATGTGTTGTCCAAAGATCGGCTCTGGTTATTTGATATATTTTGTAGGATGTCTCAGCGGTAAGAAGTTTAGATAGTGTGTCCTATTCTATCAATTTGCGCCTACGGCAGACTCTTCTTTCGCTATGGTCGTCCACCTTCTGCATTGTAAATCTTATACCTGTATGAGCAGAATTAAATGTTTGAAAGAGATTATGAATATCCTTTGTGGAGTCACCGTGGAGTCTCAGTCGTAGGCTGATTTGGAATGGATGAACCAGCAGTGGTCGCGTGCTCAAACTCAGATGCAACTGAAGCCTTTGCAGGGCATTACTGGGAGGTTGAAACTGGTGGGATGAATCAAATTGGTGTTTGCTGTTGATGCAGAAAAAAATTAAGTGTTGATTTATTGCCATTGTGAGCAATTTGCTGAATTGGCTTCAATATAAATCAATAAAAGACACCGAAAAGTTAAATAAAAAAGAAACACTCCTGAATAAAAGGAAATTGACACGAATGTTTGAACACGGTGACAGACGGGAATCAGAAGTACGCATTATTATCTAATTTTGGTTGATAATGCATAATGAAATCACCACAGTCGCTACACATTTTGTTACACTTCAATATAAGAGCTTCGCAGTGTAATTTTTAAACTCATCTTTAATTGAAAAGTGCACTGGATTATTAAAAATAGGTTTTGTAGATTTTATTTTCAATCACAATGCGTATACTTCTGACGTTATTTCACTTATTACTTGTTCCTTTGATGGAGTAGAGAACTACTCTGTTTGCATCTTGGTTCTGGATTGACACTGTTCACTACACCGGTCCAGGCATACCCTTTGGGAACACCACGATTTGAGGTGGTTGTTTATTTAATTGTAGCACTTAATATTTACAGTACCTCATAATTATTCGCTAGTGTTTGGAGTCAAATAAACCTATACAACATTTGGACTTGGCTTCTGAGGTTGCGTGTCACTCAACGTTCGCCAGGATAGTTATTTGGATTTATTAGTCGTATTACTTTTTGTGCAAACTTGTAAGCTAAATGGCTATTGCACCAATGGGGTCATTCAAATTACCCTATTTCAATGAGCTCCATTACAACGCAGACGAGGAAACCTGGTAGCAATTAACCGTTTGTCATCAAAATGCCCAAACTGAAGAAAATAAAACAGTTTGAATCATCTGATCTTTCTACCCTCGTAGGATTGTTTGCTCACGCAGCTGAATAAATGAGAAGTTGCGAATTGCTCCAGTTATGAGAGAATCAGTTGAAAATCACTGTTGGGTTATATGAGCTCTCACGAGGAACTAGACAGATAAATAAGTAGAGCATTCACAAAACGTGGCGAAACAAATTCTGCACAATATTTGCAATTGAGAACACAGTGTAGGCGAACATATGTTTTCGGTGAACTCCTTTTAAAGCCTTTACAATCAAATTTATATGAAACAATTTCAATACGGCCAAACAGAAAAGTAGATGAGTCATGTGTTTGGCAATGAACCCAACAGAACTCAAAATTTGTGCGTAATTTGGATCACATAACCAAAGTCGTTACGTCATGGTCGCGTGAACAAGGAATTTTCTCTTCCCCTGGCAAAGGGAGTTTGAGAGCTTGAATCAATTTGCGTTGTGCGCACCGCTCAAGCTTCATGAGTCGGATGCTAATCGCCTCTGCGGTTGCTAACGTCCGAAACCGTATTACTCTCGAGGGTTGNGAGACTCGATAAATGATTGTAAATGCCGAGCGTATGTCAACCAAGTGTCCCATCCCTATCAGATGAGCAACGATTGAGCTGTGTTCTTAATCAATGGGCATATCCTTCAGTTGTAATTGATTGATAAACACAACAAATTACATAACTCACCTCACGTTTTCCCATTCGGGTCTAAGACAATAATTAAACCGTGAACGTGGGGACTCGCATCTTGATGCTGTAATAGTACTTGAAGAAATACCGATGGAATTACGCTTGTGCCGCGAAGTGTTTAGCGTTCTCATGGTTTTGCCCAAATGGATGGAGATCGATATTCTGGTTCATGTGAATACAGTATCAACAATATAAGAAAGAAACACGTTCCTCGTATCTATAGTGTGCACTGCTTTTAAATGATTCTAAAACTAAATTTATCATTTGCTGAATGTATTTACAGTCGACGAGAAGCCTCTGGCAAGCGTTCCGACCCCAGACCCATCTCTGTTCCCGGGACGGGACACAAAAAGTATGCCCAGCTTCTGCGGACGATCACATGGTTGAACAAAGTACATTGTCGCAACTCGCCTGTGGGCTAGTTTAGATGTAATATGTAGATAATTATATGTCAAATCATAAAAAGAATATATTGAAGAAGAAGATCGCAATGCCTACAGAAAACTATCGAATAAAAGCTGGACATGCCGGAACAACCAGCCAATCCCGAGCATTGAATTTGTAATCAATAGACATCATTTTTTCATTGCACTCACTATAAAGAAACAAAGAACTGGATAAGTTAGTAAGAAATGAATGATGGTATGCGTGATATTTTGTGCGATTACGTTATATGTGATCATAAAACACATTTCACCGAGTCCGCTTCAACCTTGGTCGGATTTGCGAATCTGATCGTTGGCATGAAGTTCACGAACCAGGCGGACAACTTCATCCGTTGCAATGCGCACACCGCAATCCACGTTCAAGACCACACGAATGATACGTTTTGGGTCAATAATATAAAGACACCTGAAACAAAAGTAAAAGTCATGATAAATACTCCGATGACAGTAATTAGACAAATTTTACTATAATACGAAATCTTAGGCTCCAAGATGGTCTCGCTTAGACTTCAGACAACTCAACTGTTACATCTTCGGGATGTCCATGTGAAAATCCCTGTTTGAATTCACATTGCTTTTTTACATTACTTTCATCATTCTCAAGTCATTCGATCTTAAACCATCTCTCTACACTATGTCTGCTCGTTTAACTAACTGTCTGACCTCCTTTGGTATCATTCATACGTCTTACGCACCGTTGCACTAAGTGCGCTTTTACCCGTGCGTTGTGTCGGTTGATGCCAGCCAACTAACTGTTCACCACCCCTGTTAACTTGTCCGTACGTTCGTTCCTCTCCCTCCATCACCCTTTGCATCCCTAGCCTGTGTTTCCATATAACCCTATATTATCAATATATACATTTATATATATATATATATATATGTATATATATGAGAGCCTTCTGAACAACGGTTTTGATCGTTGCTTTTGTAACTTGGTTAGTATAACTTGATGTTCAGTGGCCCCCGTGTTGGGCAATTATATTGCAAATGTTTCACCATCAATCGATGTGACGTTCTTAATACGGTCACTAGATGACCGCTTATTAGTGATACTTCCATAGGACGTTTAGTGGTGTAGCGACGTACGGTTGCTAGATACTTTGTGTTCATTTACCATGTGCCGACAGGAAACGAGGTAACCGCGCGCAGTCCGTCGGTTTGTC